CATGTGTCTGATATGTACAATATTGTCTTCACAATTGATTGCTTGGATACAATGTGTGTTAAGCAGTTTTAGCTGTATTCTTATAAGAAACAAGCAGAATGCACAACAGCTATTATTTCCAACAATTAAGTCTTTATTGTAGTACACTCACCAATTTAAATAATTTAGATCACAATTTTGCATAAATAGAAGATATTGAATTGTTTTTATTGTTGATTTTTTTTCTCACTGAAACATGAAAATGAAAATATTGGCACTCTTATCATAACGTCATTGTCTAATAATCCTTTTTGCATATTTAAACCCATTTTAACAAAACTGTGTGGATATTAATAACTGTGATGAGTCTGCACACAATAATCATCATAATAAAATTTTACACTGTGACATCCCTCATAGAGATTGTTTAAAACACAGCTTGAAATTCATTAAAGCTTTATTTGTGAAAAAATAAAAAGGAGCTTTTCCAATGCTTTATTTGTCTCAAGACCTTTCCAAAGGAGGTAAACAAGAGAACCGAAATGTACAGAAGAGTACACTCATTACAGATTCTTTAAGATATGGCTGGAGATTGATGAAAAGAATAAGACGTTTTGCTAAACAGCTGCATTCTTACTCTTGTGAACCTGATATTGTCTCTAGTGGTAACCTGCTTTTATCCTTAAATCCCTGTTAGACGCATGTGTGGAAGTTGATATTTGTTTTGTTCGACCTTTCCTGAACTGTTGGGTGTACCTCTAGAGAGAAAATAAGCCACATTTATGTTAGAAGCTGCCTAGCAGCAAGATTAGTGACTTTTATCAATCACCATAAAATAATGATCAGTGGTTTAACAGTGCAGAATTTCTCACTCTTTCAAAGAACACTGAAAGCTAGCTGGTACCAAGTCAAATTAGCGCACTCGGGCTTTGAAGACCAACACTTCTCGGGGAGGTTACACACATATTTCATTACTGCTAATTGCTGTAAAAGTAGTTAAAGCTGTCAAATGAGTGTTTTATTTTCAAAGGGGTCGTCATATCACAGAAAATATATTAGGCAAGATCATAACATTGTGATTCATTCTTGACACTTTTTTAATCAAATCCCTTGTAAGGAATAATTTACTGTGTGCACACATGAGCAGGTCTGCAGAGCTGCATGAGAAATAAAGTCTGTGTCACTCTTGGAGACCGAAATGAGATTCACCTCCCCAAGGTACCTGCAGCTATCCTCTACACAGATGCTGTTGCCTGGACTTTGCTGCCCCAACCCCCCTGAGGGCAGCCTAATGAGTACATTCTTGAGCTTCTGTTTACATTTCCCAACCTGGTGGTTTTCATGACATCTGTAATTATGTTCTGAACCGGGTCTTCCCTTTTGGCCCTGTTGGTTCGCAGCAGCCCTCGGTTCCCACCCACTGACAAGCACTTGATTTAGAGTCCACCATGGTGATAGTGATTTATGCCTCGGCTGATGATAGGTGTGTACATATTGTTTTGTCGATACAGCTAAGACAGCTCAAGGTCACTGGATGGTTAGTATTCAATTACAGTATCTTCCTGGAAAAGCAAAACTGTCACCACACATCCCAGCTGATTCCATCAGATCTTAAGAAGATGAGACTTTGTGCTGCTCCAGCCAAAGTTTACCATCACGAAAGGGTGCGAACCCCTTGGCAGGAAATATTGGGCTGGAATCCATCTAGTCGAGACTATTTCTCAATCAGAGCGCCATGCTCCGCACTTCATTAGCCAAGATATTTTAAGCTTGCTGATTAGGAGAGATATATCTAATATTTCAGGAGAAACAACTTGGCTGAGATACTAAATAGAATCTTGCACAGCAGATTGTGATATAAGACAAAATCCGCTTACCTAGATTCTCGTTAAGCTATAGACTCTTTGATTTCAACTGGCAAGCTTTCTGCTGTTCCCATACTTCACACTAATCATGAACTCTCCTTCTCACTGTGAGCTGGTCTTATGTCTAGTAATCAGCCCTTAAGTGCAGGTGATTACAAAAAGCAGAAAAATCAGTGAACACTGTGGTCATTAATCAAACGCAGCAGGAGCTATAATATGTCATGCCCAATTTGTGGTGTAATAGTTTAACTTGATGAGAACTGCTCCTTAAAATTGGCTTAAAAATAAGCCATCCCTAAATATTTTAAATCCCAAAGAGATTTATCATTTCAATGCCCCCTCCAGTTTGGAGGAGTGACACTAAAACAACAATAAAATCCTCAGCTATAAAGGATGGGTGTTGCTTTTTGTGCGTTCCACAACCCACCAGTTGAAAGCATCCCTCCCTTTTAATAGAATTTGAGTCTATTTGCCACAAACTAATGGAAAGGCTTTTAATACAAGAACTGTGAGGTAGTGCTGTGTAGTTTCTGAGATTGGTTTTATTGTTCGTGTTGATAAAACGTAACAGCTGGCAGACTCTTTTAAGCTGCCAGCTTAAAAGAGTCTAAAGGAGTCATTACTCTAGTTATATGTTATTTCTCCAAATTGAGTTTTAGGTGCTTTAATCCAGTAGTCAAAACACAAACCACTGCAGATCTGCTAAAAGCCTCTTTGCTTTTTTGCTGTCATTTGCAAAAGTACTCTTACCTACCTACTTTTTTTTATGTTACAGACAAAATCTGCAAATTGTATTAGAATTTTATGCAACAGACACAAATCAGCCCACAAAGCAAATAACAATTCAGTCATATTCAGACAATTAGGACATGTTTCTAATTGTCTGAGGCTCTTTGGTTCAGTTTAAAGTACTTTAGAGACTTGTAACTGTTATTGCAATAGTTCAAAGCACACATATACCTTAATATACATTAATACACACAGTGGAAATTGTCTTTGCTCTAGCTCTACAGTATTAATTATCTTCAGTCTTGGGGATACAACTAATTAGTGCCATTGAAAATGAGCAGTGCTCCGGGATTGGCTGCTTTGCAAATGGCAGCCAATAGTGTGTCAAGAAGCTTTGTGTTCAGGGATTTCAGCTTCCCAAGCTGATTCTTTCCTAATCTTTTAGAAATGGGTAAATCTGCAAATAGGCATTTTCTTTTTGCAATTGATTTTAAGTTACAGAAAAATCCATGAAGAGATGAAGCCACAAATACTGAACTACACATATAGACAGAGGTCCACTGTAGCCTCAGATCTTTTGGGTTTTAGTGTTTTTTGCTCATCCTACTTTGTAAACAGCTCAAACTTCATCATATTTGATAGAGAGCAAGTCTGACAACAAATTCTTCATTGAAATTTGGCCTGAACTTTGACTAGACTGCGTTTAGGGTCATTCCTAAAGTTCTGTCTTAGTCTCTAGTCATTTACAAACTAACAAGTTTCTCTTAGAGAAATGAACTATATTTAAATGATTTACCATCAATCATTGTCCTGCCTGTTTCCTTGTCCATACTGAGAAAAAACAATGCTGCTGCCACCACCATGTCTAACCATTTATAAGGGGTGATCAGTTTAATATGCAGACCTAAAGCATTTTTATTAAGGTAAAAAAAAAAGTTAATTTTTAATTAACCTGGGCACACTTCCGGTGAACCATTAATCTTAAAAATCAGACTTGTGGTGAGGCGAGGCCCCCAGAGTTGATGTCAGCCTCTTGGCTGCAGTTCCTTTCACAAGATGTATTTACACTCTCACCCATTAGCTGACTTCTGAAGAGATTAGGTAGTACTGCAGGTTATTTAAGGGCATTAAAGGGAACAACAGTTTTCAGATTTTTTTTTTAAACCGCCTATAATTCTCCTTCCGCATCTTGGAATTCTGCCGATCTTTTAAAATCCAAAGAAAGTACTTTGATGATTTGAAGTTGTAATGAGACGGATGTTCATTCTAATTCCTGATTGCACTTTCCACATTTAGCCGTGACTGCGATTGACTCAAATGCTGCAAAACTGTCCATGCATGCTACTTTGAGAAGTACAAAATGATGAGCATAAATCATGAATGACATATTTACAGCAGTTTTTTTCTGCTTTGGCCCAGAAAGAGAAAAAGAGAGAGACATGAAATATATCTGATAAACTGGGAGCCCTGGCTGTACATTATGAGCTGTCACAGGGTGAAAACTAAAGAGAAGAGTTTATGGATGCTGAAACAGAAAACAATGCTAAATGATGCTATGAACAAGGTTGAAAAACAGATTTGATGTTAAAAGAAGCTTTGCTTTGAACTGAGGAGTTGTCAAGCAAAAAACTTATAGACAAAATTAAGGAAAGCTTCTTTAAACTTTTTAACATTTGGCCTTCTAAAATAATTTAATCAAATTAAATATAAACAAGTCAAATGTGTTTATATTGAACACAATTATTGTATTTTGCTGCTATAATTGAGGTTATTTGGGTTAAATGTCTTCTGATGAGCAAAAGGAGCAAGACATAAAAAGAAGTCTTTCTTAGACATTTTAAATCATTATCAGAATGATCCTGTTAATTCCTTCTATTATAAATGACCAACATCATCTGTCTGGGAATGTGCTGTATCCACATTTCTTAAATAAAAAAAAAACAAAAAGCACAGTGACTACAAAGAGGGAGCCGTCTATCAAGAACATGATGCTCGGTGCATTTTCTTCCAGTACTTTGAGGCTTGGTCATTACTTTGAATTATTTCAGATGACAAAAGCGAATTGTTGGTTCAGTCATGACTCATCACTAAAACTATTAGAAATATAAGAAATTATCTGGTGTTTCAGGAACACATCAAACATGCTGCTGGTTAGAGATTTAAAGCACCCAAAGTGAGCCAGAGTATAAAATTAGAGTAAAGCAGTAAAACAAAGTTATAAGTAAGTCTTTTTCTCCCAAAGGGTTTAATTAAAATCCTATAAGATTTGATAGGAAGGGTTTTGGGGGCACTGACTGAAACCGAATTTGGAGAAAAGACATTTACTACACTTAAAGCTTGCTTCAGCTCATCTGTTGGACATCATTCTCTTTCTGAATCAGTGAATTTGAGATCAGATTGTGCTGGTGGTGGCTGTGGGTCACCCACCTGCTCTCCAGGGCCACATTGCTGCCCAGCACCCAGCTGTCCTGCAGCTGGACGCATTCCGCCGTGCTCTGCAAGTCAGCCGCCAGGCCGGCTGTGGGTGGTGGACTCGGGCTCCGCTGGTTGGCCAGTGAGCTGCGGCTCAGTGAGGTGATGGACGGGTGCTGCTTATGTGGGGGCGGGGCAGGTGGGATAGGAGGCGGGGCCTGTTGGCTGGTCAGATTGTCACCTAGACAGAAACATGAGAGAGTGACAAGAAAATATCAGTTAACATATTCTTTAGGTAAATCAAAAGTGAAAGAAAAGCTGTGCGTTTGTTTTGATTGAATATGCTAAAGGACTTGGGAAACGACAGATGGTTGAGGAACGCATACCTTCTATACACTACATGACGGGCTTATGGCAACTTAACAGACCAAGAAAAGCAAATATAACCAAGAGCAAGACATAAAGATGAGATGCAACCGCCGCAAAAAAAGAGGCTGTTTTTATGAAGACACACATAATAATTGTCACAAAACACCACACGGCTGACAGTTGGGTTCTCTTAAACAGAAGGTCACTTAGAGAGGCAGCTGTTCCTTTATGGGCGCTTAACGCAATGCTTCACGTTTGATTACAGCCAGAGAAGACTCTCAAATAACTAATGACCAGAACATCCATTAGGGCTCTGAAAGAACAGGTTTTCCAATTTCACACAAAGCTGTGTAATTGGCCCCCAGAATGGCATGTGGTGATTATCTATCCATCTTCCCTGTTTAAAAGGTAAAAACCCACAGTGCTGACAATTCTGATTTGCTCCAATGAGCCCCAAATGGGTATCATCTTTCCTGCCTTTCAGAGGCTTGGAGAATATTGAGGAAGCCCGGAGAGGCTTGAGATTGAGGAAGCTGTGCAAGGAGCTGAAGCCTGCAAAGCCTAAAGAGTTTAGATTTACAGCAAATATGTACACTGAAGGTCAGCGCATGATTTAACCTTTGCTTCAGCAGGTGTGTGTCTGTGTCTGTGTGTGTGTCTGCAAAGACCAAAAATCCGCTCTGTGCTGCCAGCTGCACAGAGCGACTCACTGAAAGGACACAAGCCATTGTTTTGAATGGGGTCCTTTAATGGCCGTGCAGTTTGTATCCTTGTGTGTATGCATGTGTGTGTGCGTGCCTTGGCTTTTCAGAGTGCCCTTCTGTGCATGAAACGAGCTGTTCAGTGGAGGCAAATGAGCCGTTTGGTACCACACAGCTAGGAGGAAACATGAATGCCACTCGGAGCAAGGCAATCATTTCCACTGCTTAGAGGGAAAAACCTTCAGGCTTCTGTATGGGCAACCAATTAGTACCAATATGGACTCCCTTCTAATGTTTAATATAGGAGGACATAGAAAATGTAGCATGAGAAGCAGTGGAGTAGAAATAGCTTCTGACAATTATACTATATTGTCTGAGTAATTTATACTGTCGCTGCATTGGGTAAAAAGGCTTTTTCAATGGTGAACTGTTAAAGTATTCAAGCCTCCTGAAACTTTGGGTATTTTATCATATTTAAAGACAAACTTCTACAAGTTTTTACGAAATTTTATAAAACATCCGATGACGCAATTCTAAAGAGATTCCCTGTGCTGACTGAGGAAAAGCATCCTCACAGCATGACGCTGCCAGCGTGTTTCACCATGGTGTTCAGAGTAATATGCAATGTTTTTCTTCAAACATAGGGCCTGATTTAAGCAGAGCATCGAAACATAACAGTCTGATTCCATAAAGTCATGATGTGCTGGACTTATTTCGTAGTCCTGCAACTCAAATCGTCATAACTGGATTTTAACTTATTTTTTTATTACTTTATATTCTTCAATTGTTCCAAATATTTGACAAACAGTGTCTTCTGTTATTGTATCTATGTTTCCTGCTCGTCACAATGACCACAGACATTTCTGTGCATTTTGGGTGGCAAGTTTTTATATTTACATAAACTCCTCCCAGTATTTTGCACTTTCTGATGATCTGCATATGTTTTGCACATGCTGACACAATCCTGTTTGTGTGTTGCTTAGAGATCAAGTTTGCATATGCTATTGAGTTTGCGGTTGATCTTGTATGTGCAAATCTTTTGTAGATCAGGCCCGTAACATTTTCCATATCAGACAAAAAGTTTTGGTTTAATTTTGGTGAAATCTTATTTTACAGTGATTTTATTCTTTCCACTGTTTCATAAAGGAGAACTGGACTACAACACTAATAATTGCCCTCTTGGCAGATTCTTCCACCTGAGCGTACATATCTGCAGCTCTTCCACAGTCACCATAGTTTCTGTGACTCTGTCCAGTCTATTGGTTCAGCTGGATGTCCATGTCTGTCCACAGATCTCTGGACTGAACAGAGATCGGTGAGGATTTCAGAGGTTGGGAAGTTGTTTAGTCATTTCTGTCTGAACTGTGTTCCTTTACCTCCAAGATGCTTGTTTGTCCAATAATGTTCTCTCTTAAACCTCTGAGGTCTTCACAAAACATCCTATCCTGGATTTAAATTATTCACAACTGAACTACGTTTATTAATCAGGAGACTTCCAAAGGCAACTGGTTGCTTTGAATTTTTCAGGTAAAAAAGGAAATTCCATACATTTTGCATACCTGTGAAAAACCTGAAGACATTTTCTTCTATATGATCTGCTTTGTCTGGGTCTACATAATAAAATCCCAACAAAATAAGAAAGGTTCCAGTGGTTAAGACTTATTTTGCACAGCACCACATGTATATTCCTCTTTGCAGACCCAGGGATGAATAGATTGCTAGACAGAAACGGGAGTAACAAGAATCCACAGCTCTAGTGCAGAAGGCCAATCAAAGATTAATTACGTCCTGACTGCAATTACACAGCAGCAGCATGGGGCCATAAATTCCATAAAAGCAAAATCATCAGAAGCAAATGAAGGTTGTTATTTTTCCCTCCTTTTTGTGAAATGTGATTAGAGTTTTATCAAACCCAATCAAACATGATCCCTTCAGCACCCCACGCCACCGTGTTCAAAGCCAATGCTGATATCTAAATTAAGCATGAATTACCAAAGATCAGTTGCAGTGCTGGCATTTGAAAAATATAAGAGTGCCACGACTTGGTGATAAGGAATACATGACATCCACTCAGCTCCTGGGTGAGATGGGAGCCCTATTAGAAAAATGCTTAGTAGGCTGATGGAAATGGAAATTATCTCCCAACTCTGGCAGCTTTTACTTTTTCCTCCAGGCCGTATGGCATTGCAGGAGCCTGCAGCACCCATGGGCTCAGCTTTCCTTCCAGCTGCAACAGTTTTCATACAACAGTCAGCAACAGAGATGGAAAATTTAACTGTGTGGTAGAAACTGGTTAAAGAAAATCAAGAAAATTAAGGTAAGAGTGGATAGTGATATTCAGAAAGTGTTTTGTTATGAGAAAAATGTGTTCATCCCATTCAAAATTCAATTAAAATTCTTTTCTTTATGAAACTCTGGCATTTATTCTTTTTCTTTTCATAGAAACATATTCAATAAAAAGTCCCTGAAAACAGCCTACCTTCCCATAAGCCATTACAAATAAAGATACATTGCAGATATTGAACAAAACTGTATCCATTCATCTCAGTGTTTACATATCGATCTCAGCATCGTGATTGCCCTTGTTTTGTCTGCTGTGGCCCCAGGAGCCTGAAAATGCAGTGCAGCCAAGCCTCAGAGCCACAACAAAAAACACAGTTTGCATCACAGGTGCTTTATGTTAGATGGGAATAGAGCGTGAAGGCTTTCACTGTGAGACACTTTATGATGAACTGAGATGCTCAAATTCTTGAACTGTTGCATGAAATGAGCTGTTTTGTTGCTGAGGACACACACTGAAAACCCGGTTCGAAACACACAATAAACCTTCCAAAGAGTGAGATGTGACATGCAGTAAATCTGAGCATTTAATCTCACAATAATGTCGGATGAGTGTGACTTCTCAGAAAGTACTGTATGCACAGAAACGAAAAAAGCAGCACTAAAAACTCAAATCTTTCTCTTTTACTTATCCTTGGTAAACTGCAAAAACAATAGTTTCTAGTGCAGATGTTACAGTGTCCCTGAAATCAGATAAAACTAATTTAGAAGTATCTTTTCAGTAACATACAAGAGCTGGTTTTAAGACAACAATTCCTAAGTACTGATAAAATAAAATTAGAAGTTTCACTGGCAGATTATGTCATTGAAAATACTGTTTTCACATCAAATGAAAATGGTAAATATTCCATTACAACTGTAATAATTTACAGTTATAAGGTTATTGGCCAATCTTGGTCAAGAATCAGCTTAGTGATCAAGATTGTTTGCACAAACAAGGAACCTGAATGTGGTTTTCCAACACGCAGCATATCGACACAACACATAAATATGTAAACTTCAGAGGAACTAAAATAAGTATAAAAGATTATATACATAAATTTGCAGCCATTTTTGAAGGAAGCAGATCATATTTTGGATTTTTTCTTTGAATGTTTATGATATCATACTCATACCTGCTTTGAATGCGAAGAAAAAGCTTTAAGAATATAAAAAGACGGCTCTATTTTGGGCCAAATGCACCACAACATAACTTATCATCCTGCAGATCAGAACCTCTGGCTTTAAGATCTGACTGAGCAGCAAGTTTTATCCTTTTAAGCTTTTAAATGTAAATCGTTACTCCTCATGGAGTTGCAGTAATACTTTATGCAAACATTCTGTGGCTTTAAGGATTATATCATTCATATACATTCATACTTCACATGACTAGTTTAATGTCGTAGCCAACATTTTAATTGCATATGCACGTTCTGCCCTTCAACTATTCATCTGTTTAATTCGGGCCTTTTGCCTTTATGGTGGACACGTTTCTTTTAAAGGTACGGGTCGTAACACCATGTATTTCGTTCATGTACTCGATTTCCTTGCACACAGTAGGTGACAGCCTGTCTGAGTGATGTCAGGCGCCATGGTTTCTGGTCTCCAATTTAAGGTGTAGGTTTGAATCCAATTTCTGACAAACAGTTTTCTACTCAGCACAGGGTCTCGCTATGATGAAAACCTGTAAGTGAGAAGCTCAATGTGATTCCAGGTAACTCAAAGGGAAAATGTGGCACTAGCAGTGCTCATTCTCTGTGTACTTCACTGCAAGAGTTGGATGTCTGAAAGCCACTGGGGCAGGCCATGATAAATATGGGCTTTTGCCACTTTAATTCACATTACCCACTGG